TTTGAGAATTATAGAAAAAATCCAAGTTAATCTACTAGATTTGGCCAGAAAATTGAATAATTAATACTTGTTAACGAAAAGCAAAAGTTTAAAGTATACAGAAATTTCAGGCATACTTTACTCTATTATAATCCAAAATTAGAAATACTACACCTCTTATAAAGTTTAACGGACTGTCTCACTAAGGTGGATTTTCCAACAAACGGATCATCCAATTTTTCAATCCGAGGCTAGTCGATAAAATTTTATACTTCGTTAAACTGTACGATGAATAAGAAAAAATAGATTTAAAGAAAATTTCACAAAAAAAGATTATTCTAGTAGGTGGATTATCCGAAGATTAATCATCCTAAGATTATCTACATAATTAATCTAAAATGTTAAAACTGGGTCCCCCCAAGATTGAAAATTCGGATAATCTTCAGGATTATCCTAGGATAATCTTAGGATAATCCATACACTAAAATTATTTTTTCGCTATATTCACTATAAAATAAAAAGATTTTTTATTAAACTGTGCTGATTATTATTCACCAATTAATTCTACATCAGTAAGAATTATTTGGATTTTCCACGCATCGAAAAAATAGATAATCTTAAAATGAGGATAATCCACCTTAGTGAAACAGGCCGAATAATTTTAAATGGAATCATCGAACAATCCAGGCATTTGGTGATGTTTTCGTCACAAAAATATTTTCAAACTGTTATTTTATCAACAAGTCAACCAAATGATTAACTTCTCAATATAATTATTTTATTATTAATGCGTGGCTGATAAATTTGAGAAAATTGTACAGCAAATATTCACCGTGACACCCCAAATATCTCGATGAACAATTTCTTCATTTAACCGCCACATGTACTTCCTAAAAAATTGTATCTGCGCATCAATATATGTTTTAAGACGAAAAAATTCAATTTAAATAAATTGTCGTTGTCAATTTTAACTTTTTTTCACCATCAAATATTAAAATTCTCAGATTGTTATTATCATGTCATGATTATGTCATTAAATTTAATTCACATTTGTCCTTCACGTCAATCATGTCATTTAAATAAATTCATTGTCTGGGACGAAGATAGAAATTAATTTGCATAAAATTCAAATAAACGGCAATTAAATCGCCATTGAGAGATCCTGTCAGCTTTATGCCAAGCTTTGAAAAGAGATGAGGGAATTAAATAAGAATGAGACGGGTTTTCATTGTTGTGAGATAACTGCTTTGCATAATTTTGAATGGAAAATCGTGGTCGTGTAAAAGTTTTGAGTTTAATTTCTCTGATGAGCTTTGGAAGGGAAGTTTAAAATATTTTTATTGATAAGTTCTAAGATTAGGATGTCCATCTATAGGCACGTATACTTTGTAAAAGTTTTTGGCAATTGAACTAAAATTTGGACCTTTGTTTTGTTTACTATTGAATGATTCTTCAACTTTACAAATTTTTTTGATACAGAATATTTAGAGTCTAATCCTTCTCTACCACTGATTCCCAAATTAAATCCTCTCAAAAATTGTTATTAATCTAAAAACAAAATAAAAGTTTGCTTATTATCTCATCTTAAGTGCAATATTATGATGATTCATGTCACTTGTCTAGCACTTATAAAAGTAAAATGACACTTTTGTATATAAGCATGCAATGAATAGAAAATGAGCATAATGGTAGCGATAATGTATACAATACATAAGAAATGAAAAAAAAGTACTTTTAATTACATTATAAAAGATTCTCATACACGACAGCATGTTAGTGAATTTCTGTGATTATATGAGATGAAAAAATATAATTTTATCGTTATCATCACTAAGGTACTTGGAACTGCTTAGAGCATTCTCATTCTTTTACCATGCTGTATGTTTTTTTTTAAATTCAAAGCACATCACGGAACATTGAAAAATTTCTCTTCCTTATGAGCGATTAAAAGAGATGAGAAGAGAAAATTAAATTGCAATATCTGGAAGTGATTTTTATTTTTATAGCGTGGAAAAAAGTTTGAACTTTTTTTTATAAAATAACAAGAAGTTTAAAACTGTAAGGAAATTGACTTTTATAAACAAAACTGAATCTGAAAAGACTGAATGATGTTTATTTTTGACTTTTCCGGCTGATAAAATTACAAAATGACTGTGATGAGTTCTTTTAAAACTTTGGAATTGTTCGATTCATAGACAAAGCATGGATTTTTTTGAGGAACCATCTTTATCTGACTAATTTCTTTAATGTTTCTTCAATGTTTTCAAACATAAAGCCCATCGAGTCTTACCGTGTCACTATTATTGTTATAATGTGGTTTTTTATGGGTTGCTCGAAAAACCTAACCTTAGTCATAATCAAATTTTCTATTTATCCAAAAAATAGTATTAGGATCCAACTATTTTTTGCTAGAATGGTTAAGCTACTTTACAATTTTATCATGATTAAAGATTTTGCTAGAAAATCATCACAAAAAACTTAAAAATATTTATTTAAGAAAAACAAGGAGAACAGCAGATAGCAAAAATGTGCAGAGATCCGTTTATCATGAATAAAAAAAACTAAATTTGAATAATTTATTGAATGCAATGAATTTATTAAAAAAAATCATTTAAGTGGTTTGAGGATTTGAAAAGGATAAAAAAGCTATTGATTTCTAATGCGGAACTCTGCAATTTTTCATTTAAATAGGCCAATTAAAAAATGTTTATAAATTTATATTATAATGGATTGATTAGATTATTAAATGAATTATGATTCGATATTTATGGATCTATAAAACATCTTGTATCTCTATGATTTAGTTTGAAATGCAAAGCGTGTCTAAATACTGTAAGCATTTCTATTGTTAAGTTGACATACCAAAAATCACGTTGGATGTATGAACTGACCAGTATATTAAAATCAGTACATTTGGAACTTAATGGCAGTAGCTTAACATCATTGTGCCCATTTATAGTCGTTTTAGTTTAACCAAGCAGGCATCACTTCAGTTCTAAGTAAACAATCTACTACAACATTTAAACTATGATCTCATACCTTATGACCTTCTGAAAATTAAATGCGAAAATTTCTATTGATTCTTTGTCGCCCACGAAACTTTTAGTGGTCTGACCATTACTTCCACTCCAAAAATTAGTTCTTTCTCTCGAGTCTGTAAATATATAGCAAATTATCTCCCTTATCCCATCTTAATTTCAAACATGAATTCTGAGAGGCCTTTACTCCTCTCAAAATATCCGTTGAGTCCTTTTATGTGTGGATGTCGGTTATTATTATAGAACATCGAATTAAACTTTCATTGCATGAACTCATACCTAATGTCCTTCCATATAAATTTTAATGTTTGAGCTTTTTATGATGAAGCAATAAAGTTAAATTACTGAATTAGTTCTTCTTTTGCCTTGCGTGTTTGGGATAAAAAGAAATGATGAATTTGATGTGGAATTGTGTTTAGAGGTAGGAAGAGAAAGGACAGAAAAAAATGTTGTTACTTGTTTGGAGTTGTGGGCTAGTGACGTCTAACCTTATACTTCATGACACTCTTAAATTTATAGAAGTCTATGAGCCATTACGTAAGATACGTACAATTAATTAAGAACACAAAAGTCATGTCCAGGTCATTTTAATTGTGCCCACATACAAAAGCTGGTTAAAGGTTATAACAAGATGTTAAAAAAAATTTTAATGTGACATCAAAAGAAATGTATACGTGAACACAAAGCTGTAACTTCATTAACCTAAAATACTGAGACATTTGAATGAAATACTCTCACAATTAAATACATTCACATCCCACATCCATAAAAATTCGAGTCTTTAAATTCAAATCAGCCTACACAAATAAAAGAATGAATGAGTTTTCTAATAACAAGAAAATAAGCTCGCCTGCCTCCGTTAGTAAATTGTTTTGAAAGCTAGAAACTTTTGATCCAACACAAAAGCACATCTTAAAGTTCAACAAATTGAACAATCACTCTGAAGGTTAAAGTACTTTTTATTATTATGAAAAGTTTATGAACTGTGAAATTCCGATTTATGAATATTAAATCTACAGTAGTCTCTAATTTTATTACATAATTCTTACAAAACTTTTCCTTTCCTTGATGAACCTTTTTCCTGTGCCTTCTTGTTTTTGATGTAGGAAGGAAGATTCATCAATATTAAATTGGATTATTGTGTAAAAAGTTTCAATACAGCAGATAGAGATTTTTTACGGATGTGAAATGCCGAATTTTCGTTAACTTTGGTAGGGATACAGTCAGGATTTTTTTTGATAGTAGAAGGGGATTTAACCCTTAACAAAAGAGGGATATCCGATTAATTTTCTCATAGATTTTCAATTTTAAGAGGGGTTTATACCTCATAGACCCCCCTAAATTACGACCTTGAGCATTATACCAGCATTCATAAGTCCTACCTCAATAACTGTGCGTCTCAATCATGTTAATTAAATTATAAAATCTTTTTACAAACCCACAATTAGATTCTTTATTCTATAGAACTTTAAATTACGAAATAATAATCAAATAACTGTTTTCTTACCGCATTTCTTTAACTGTCTTAATCCGCAATGTAAATTTACCAAAGGAAGGAAAAATGCTGTGTCGATTGTTTGCTTTTAAAGTTGGTAGTGGTTGGTAGTAAAAACACCGTTTTTTATGTTGTGAAAAAAAGAGAAAAAAAAATTAATGGAATTTAAAGTTGTGTTTCTGTAACAATGCATACTTGGAAAAGTTTTATAGAATAAATAGAATTCAAATTGATTTCGGAGATTAAAAGCATTGATTTTGAGAATTAGAGTTGATAAATGAATCTTTGTAAGAGATCTAGGGGTTGCGGTAGGTTTTCAATTCCTAAAATTCAAAATACGAATAAATAAAGAAAGCTTTCAGCGTTGACAAAAGTTAATTCAAAGAACTTTAAATAGAGTCATAGCTCAAACTTGAACCACACAAAAACCTCCAGACATAAACTCATTTAAAAATCAAACCACTCAGCAATTTTATTTTCATTTTTCAGTGAACAGAAGGGAAATTATCATAGCAAACAGCAATAAAAAGAACACTAGTGTAAACAATAGACAAGTGAAACCGTGACCCATTTTAATATTTTTTGTTCATCTTTAAAGTGAATCATAACAGCTGATGCGGGTACCTAATATCTAGACTCAATTTTAAGTAAATAAATTTCGGTATACAAATTCAAATGCACGCACCATTTGCAAGCCTACCATAAAATATGTAAATTAAGTTAAGTGCCAATGACAAGTACATACTACATAATCAGTTTCAATAATACACGAGAGGGATAAGCCTCGTAAGAAGGAAGATTGTGAATTGAAAATAAAAATTGCTCAGTGGAAATGACATTAGTGAATTGTTGGGTTGGTCAAGTGCAGTTTTAATTAAAACATGAAATAGGTATCAAAAGTGATCCCAAGAAGGTGTAGAAAAATTAATTAAAATTGTTGAATATTGAAATCAATCAATAAGAACAGCAGAACAGTAGCAGCGGTTAAAAAGAAAGCAAAGAGAGAATAAAAAAATTCAATTATTCATTCGGGTAGCAGGTCTGAATGCGATGATTTATCAAAATGTGGACGTACATGATGGCAGCAGCCCGAGGTGATCGAGCAACGTCAATATTACAGGCACGACAAAACGCCAGATATCAGAATGACGACTCTAATCTCTCAAGGTAATTTTTTTTTGCTTTTTTAAAATTATTATTCAACAACAACGTGTCGTCATCACTATCATTCTTTGGCTATGTATGTAGATCAAATTGACAGAACAATCTCAACAAACTTCTCACAACCAACTCTGATTAAATCATCACGTTCTACTTTTTATACACTCTCGCTTACTTAATTAATTCATTAATTTAATTGTCAATTTCCATTTGCACAATTATTCTGGACATTCTCATCAATCGCCCCTCTATTTCTCAATCCATTCATTACAGATTACCACAAACAAATTATTTTCATCGAATACCAAGAATACCACCCTATCAAACAACGCCATTTACAATTGATCCGTCAGCACGCAGCACTCAAACATTTGCAGAACGATATGGTGTTTCACCACCTCACTCGCCTGATGATGTTTATGGAAATGAATATTCACTTGATGGTAAAAATGGAAAGCGTAATCAAAAAGCATCAAAAGTGTCAAAAGAGCACCGGAGAGACGCTCAAAAGACTGTGATAAAAGAAAGTGTTGGCATTTGTAGTGAAAATGAACAAAATAGCAAAGGCTTTCTCCCGAATTCGTTTGATGTCGAACTGCTTCAGGTGAGTTGTTGTCCTTAATTAAGAACCTCTTTAAATTTGATCAAATATTTCGATTCATTAGTAATATTAAATGTTGGATGATTCAAGTCGATCTAAAAAATATGATTTAAATTCAAGCTTTAATTTGGGTATAATATTGAGGAAACATATTTTGTATCAACATGCACACACCGTATGCTTCTGACTGATATGGCAAATGACAATTTTTTAAATCAGTCATGCAAAGCCAAACGTGCTTGATGTTCATAAATGTGAAAAGCTTATTGATGCTTATAATTTTACTTTTTGTACAAATTATTGCTCCCTTTTTTGCGCACTGGATATTCATCGTCATTATTTTCGTATGGTAATCCAAAAAAAAAACTTTTGACGTACCTTGTGACGAAACTATGGAAATGTCAGAAGGATTAATTTAATAGGCATAGTTTACATTTAAATTTCTAAATTGTACAAAACAACTAGTGTATCGGGTAGAAACCCAATGCGGATTATATTCACACCGTACTATCATAAGTCTTATGGATATACCAAGATTTGCCCATCATAAGTATGAAGGTATGATAAGTCAACTAAGCTTCGCTCAGCATAAGTTTGAAGTTATAAAGCTTTCGCGTAAGCTGAGCTACGCTCAGCATAAGTTTGAAGATATGAAGCTAGAGAGGCAGCTGAGCTTCGCTCAGCATAAGTTTGAAGTTATAAAGCTATCGCGTAAGCTGAGCTACGCTCAGCATAAGTTTGAAGATATGAAGCTAGAGAGGCAGCTGAGCTTCGCTCAGCATAAGTTTGAAGTTATAAAGCTATCGCGTAAGCTGAGCTACGCTCAGCATAAGTTTGAAGTTATAAAGCTATCGCGTAAGCTGAGCTACGCTCAGCATAAGTTTGAAGATATAAAGCTATCGAGTCAGCTGAGCTACGCTCAGCATAAGTTTGAAGGTATAAAGCTGGACGAATATGCCAAATATTCTTTAAAAGTTTTTTAAAAAAAATTTTTCATCCAAAGTTGAATTTTATAAAAATCACAGTCAACTTTTGTTTTAAAAAATTCGTAAGAAAGAAAAGTTTTTTGCCATTTCTGAAGCAACGGCTGTTCCTACCTTGCCCAAAAACAATACAGCTCTTCTATAGAGCAGCACGGATCAAATGTAAAAAACTAGAAGTCTCTACGATGTCTCGTTATTGAGATTTCTTGCTGATTAACTTGCTTGCTTGCTTGCTTGCTTGCTTGCTTACAGAAAGCGTATTTTGCGATTTTCTCAGCAATGCCACAACCAATTTGAAATCTGTTTTTTGAAAATGATGTAAAATTTCAGGCACAAACTTTTCTTCTTGCCCTCTTATAACCAATTTTGCTTTGTTTTCTCACAAAATGCGAAAAACTGATTTTTCAATCTGAACAAAACCAATAGATTCACACCTGAAAACGGTGTGAATATAAAAAATGAATTCCCAAGGATAAACTTAAAGGCAATAAAGCTATTTAATATTTTTTTAGGCCTAATGTTTCTATCCTGACTACGAGGTTATATGGGAATATAATTTATTTTTTTTTTCTTTCAACTTATCAAAAAACATTTAATAAATTTTTATGTGGGACTAATTTTGCAATTATTATTGCTGTCGTTAGGCTAGTGAAATGCCATGACAGTAATTCAATTATTTTAAACTGTTAAAATCAACAGTGCAAAAACCTAGTTTCGAAATGAGAATGTTTTCCGAGTTACATTTCCTAATATTCTTGTAAAGCTTGACAGTCCATTCAAACACCGCATACTGTTTGTGTTTTCATGCATAATAACAGGACATGTGGCTCTTTTTCAATTAACGTAATTTACAACATGCAAAGACGAACTTTTGTGGCATTTTCTTTTGCGATATTTCACTTTATGCTCCAATTATTTCCCAGATTCATTTCTCTTTTTCATGTTTTCTTTTATTTAATTATTGTTCAGTATGTAATTCTCCCTCACTGCTATTCATTTCCATTTTTTTCGGTTTCTTTCTTGCATAATTAACTTTGTGCTAGATAATAGAATTTAATGAGAATGAAATGACTTGTTGAAGGCCAAAATGGACTTACTTCATCATTTAGAAGTTTAATTTTGCGAATCAATTGTCTTTTAAATTACAGAACAGAATGGTAGAAAAGCGATTGAATTGATAAATTGAAAAACATTTTTCTTTTAATAAGGGTTTGAATGGCTTTTTGGGCAATGTCACCAATTATTGACTGCATTACATTAATGATTGGTTTCGAAGCTTGGTTCGTGAGTTTTATAATGAATTTAAGGCTTTGGTACAGAGTGTATATAATTTACCACGTATTGGAGGACATACCAGCACTATTAAGTTGTTTTTAGGTTTCTTAAAAATTGCAAAGCTTGCAGTCTTAATTATTGGTCAAAATTACATATTCTGTCAACTTAAATTTTAACATCGCATCGTAAGCAACACAAAATCGGCAAAAGCAGCAATAAAGAACATCTTATGCTACTAAATGCCGTTCAAATAAACTTCTTAATTGTCTGTAGCCTTACTATTCTTAAAGTGTATTATTCATGTTCATTCAATATATTTTTTAAAAAAACTTCTATGTTAATGCTGAAATTCCCACTCAAAAGTTTTCATTCGTTCACTTTTTTAAAAAGCCCTCATACTTATTTGAATTCATTCTACTTTTAAATGCTGTATTTTTGAACGATATTGATTTTTTTTATGCTTGCACATATGAACAAATAATACTCTTATCTAAAACAAATTCAGAAAGCTTCGTTCGCTAGGTAAACAAATTTTATTTAAATTTTTGCTCAATATTGATTCGTTCCATTAATTTTCACAAAAAAAAAATAGGAAAAAAACAAATAAAAGTAAATTATGCAAACTCAAATAAATACAAAATGGTGTTAAAATCTGTTGAAAATTGATTTATTTTATTCAGTCAAAATGAGAGGATAAAGCGGGAACAGGAAATGAATTTTAATTGTGAGCTATCGAGGAAATTCGTGTTTAACTTTGTTTTTTGATCAGAAAATGTGTAGAGGAGTAAAATCATGGACAATTTGTGATAAAATGAATGAATGGCTGAAAATTGAATGATATTTTTAAGTCCTTCGCTTTGAATGTGAAGGAATTAGTTCCACACCTGAATTTCATATCCAGAGTCCCATCTCCTTCCGATTTGCTCTTCTGGTATTACAATTATTTTTGATACGACTAAGTTTTGTCATGTTTTAAATAAAACACCTGCTTTATAAAAAAAAGTAGAACAAGTGAACGTGTAAAACCTTGAAAGTTCTGCTTAGTACTTTTTGAGCACATGTTAACTCAATTAACAACTGCTTTAAAATGTTGATAATTTTAATGAAATTGTATGTCCAATGTATGTTTAGTTGTGCTAGCCTGATCATGTCTATAAATCAAACATAATCGTATACGTTAAAGCTAAAAAGTCCTCACGCAACAGTTTTGTACACAACCTAATTCAACAATTAAAGTCATCCACAAATAAAATTCATTGCAAAAACACCGCTACATCCAATCAGATAAATTGAATTTACAAACAAACATTCATGACAAAAATACGTTTGCTTTTGACACCGTCGATAAAATGAAAAAAAGCGTATACAAAAGTCCGAAAATAATTTTCAACCAAATGTTGGTGCCAGCATAAATTTTAATTCACCGAAATGTCAATGGCAAAAATTTCAGTCTATTAAGCGAGTGGAAAAAGAAGTCGCACTTTTCATGCATAAATAACGAACGAACCATTAAATTAACTTAATTGGCAGTCAAATCATATTCCATTAAATCTGAGCAGCGAGAGAATTTTGGAACTAAACTGGAAGAAAATCGATTTTTATTTTATTTTTTTTTTCTATTTTGCTTCCATTTTCAACTACTAAATTATGAATTTATTCATTCAGTTAAGTTCTATAAAAGATGAAAGCACAAGAGCCAATATTAAATTTATACACAACAAAGGAAGGCAGCATCGGCACTCAAGAGCTTTATAAGTCGAAATTCATGCAAATCTAATGACAGAAAGTTTTCATCTTCCTTTTCTTATTTAATTATTTTGTTTTCTTCATATTTAATGAATCTGTTATTAATGAAGGAAGGAATAAGCATATCTGGCACTAAAAGATAAATATTGAAATACATAAATCAACAAATTTCTCTCCGTCTTGACAATCATATCCTCGAAGAAAATCAACCAACAATTTTGAATTTCGTTCATGAATATTTATAAGGCATTCATTAAAGTCAATATCTGTCTTTGCGAAATCTAAAATTAAACTTTTTTTCGTCATCTCGAAAATATTTAGATTTGATAAGAATATGACTTAATATGAGAAGGTGGATGTTTGACTTTTGATTCAGTTAAAATTATGAGCGGCAACATAAAGAGAGAATTTATAATTTGTTTAGAAAATATTTTCATAATATCCCTTTCAAGCTCATACTAGATCGTATGCAGTAATGAATATGGTGCCGAGAAAGCAAATAATCTGGTGTGAAGCCAGCTTGTCGCCAAACTTGAGCTATGTTGGTTCCACGTCAATGCATGATGAAAGAATTTGCCATTGAGTCATTTGACTACATTTGATGCTGTCTTCCTGAATTTTTTAAAAACAAATTCCTCTCAAAATTGGGGAGTCATTCATATTTAATGTCTCATTGAGACGATTATGAGACTTTTTAACGATTTGAATAATAGATTTATTCAATGATTGACTCCTTAGGGACGTTCATTTATTAAGTACGCTAAAAAATCTATATTTTTAATTGCAACCCCAACCATATCTTCCTTCCTAACCATTATTTTTTTCACATCAATTTCAATCCAAATCAAAAGTAAACCAGAATCATCTGAAGTTTATAAATTGAATTTCTTACACAAATTTTCTTTCCTTTCTAAACCACGATTTTAATTTACGACAGACTTGCGTCATTTCGTATGTTGGCAGTTATGTAAAATTTTGAAAAATACAAAATTTATTTTCCGTTAAAGCATAAAACAAAATTTTGCTTTAATTAAGCTACAGATTATGAAGCTTTTCGATCAGTATCACTAATTATGTGATCAGTAAGTTGTTAATCATTGTTTCAAGCAGTTTCAAGTAAGAAAATTCCTAAATTAAGAAAATTCAGTTGAAATTGAAAAATGTCAACAAAAAAATGTAAGTGTATTAGTGTAAAAATTTCTTGAAAATATTTCTGCAAAAAACTTTATGTTTCCTGATATTCATGATTTTAAAGCTTATCAATGTTCATAAAAAATAACAAGCTTTGATTCTAAGCGAGTTGACAGTAGTTATCATAGCTAAAATGCTCAAAATTCAGCATAGAATTTTTTAAAGTTTTACCGGTTAAATTGAGTTTAAATTTTCGAAATAAATTTCGAATTTTTTGAAGCCAATTTCGAATTTCTTCGAAATGAAATGACGCAAGTCTGATTTACGATATTCACAATAGTCCTATTGTCATAAAAATTTCGAGTTCAGCAATGAAAAATGTTTTCAATTAGTTTAAGACGACGTGATTTATTTTCTAGAATTTTTTTTAAACCATAAACATTTTAATAGCTGTTTTTGGTTAATCTAAAAAAAGTTAATGAAGTGATAATAAATTGCGACGGCAGTTTTAATGAATTTCGTGATTTTTTTTTTAAAAAAATGATTTCATTGTGAGTCGTTCAAAAATGATGTCAGGCTTTAAAGGAATAAGCTGTATGATTTCAGAAATTCATATTAAATTGCAGTAGTCACTTATCCAATTCCGAACTTTTCCAGGGTCTGCATAAATTCCTGGAAAATTCTTAACAGCGCATCCGTAACCTAGAATGACATTTGACAATGAATAGAATCAATTTAAATGGTTTTGTAGATTTAATTAAATTTAAAAACGCTTACCAGATGAAACTACCCCAGCCTGAATTATTATATTGTTTACGTTACAAATTAATGGTCCGCCCTGTAAGATTAATACATTAACTTGAATTTCTAGATAATTTTAAGTGAAATCATATTAATTAGCATCATGAAGCACCTAGTCAACTTACAGAATCACCTGAAAATATATGAATGAATATAAACGACAAAAATCGATATTAATAATTAATTAGAGGTAATTAATCTCACCACTACATGCATCACGGCCACCTTCCATATATCCAGCACACATCATAAAATCTGTGATTTTAAACCTTACTTTGGGAGTATTATAACAAGCTTGACAAACTGTTTGGTTCACCACCTTGACATCAACGAAACGTAATTTGTCAGGTCGTGTATCATTATCAGCTTTACCTAATGCATAAAAGAATACACAAAAGATAGACATAAGAGCTCATCATTTTTATAGACTCATCAACATATTCATTCTCGTCACGTAATCTTTATTTTATGAACGAACAGTATCGAGAATGAAAATCCTTCCTCTTTCACATCTGCATCCTTTTCTCACCCCATCCAGATACGGTGCATATTGTATCATCCACCATCACTTGATTTTGCTCTGATAATTTTACGGGTCGTACAGTACCATTAACATAGTCAAACAGTATTTCACGATCAGGTTTTAGTAAGGCATAATCGTAGTTTAACTTTAGTATGTCGAAAAGTGGATAATTAATGATTTTTACTATATCATACGTTTTACCACCTTTCTCTTTGAATGTTGATCCTACTCGTACTGAAATGTTTGTGTTGTATTGGTACGTGCAGTGGGCTGAATGGGATAATAGAAATTGATTCTTGTCATATGAATTGCACTTAGAGATATTTAATAGATTCGTTTATCGCTTGATTCGTCTAAATTTGAGGAGAATTTAGTACCGAGAAGTCTCTAGATCTACGCTTTGTACGATTATACACTATCTTGGTTCAAGTTGCCTTGCATGAGAGTACCTAACCCACTCCTATTTTCCTTTAATATTGATCATCATGACTATGACATTCAGCACAAGTCATGATGTTAACAAAAAGAATCAAAACACTTTCAAACGTTTAATTAATGCCAAAACAACTTAAGTGAATTACAACAGCAGTTTATCAATTTAAAAGTACCGAAGATTCTTCATAAATGTCATAAATAATTACCTGCAGTTAAAAAACAATTATTGGATATAACACTACACCCACACTTTAATTTATTGTTATAAAGAAAAGCACATTGGTGTGGAAATTGCGTTATTGTTGTTTCTTGTCCTCCGATAATCTGAAATTTACTCTCAGACTGACAGTAATTGATAATGAACAAGACAGTAATTATAAAAATTTCTTTTAACCGCTTCTTCATTATTTTTGCTGAGGTGTTAAACGTACAATAAATTGGATAAGACTGAATATTGAGGTTTGAATTTTTTTAAGTCATTCGTTTTATGACGGGACGAAAAAAAGCAAAATATTAAATTTGATTATAGGAAAGCGAAATTTTAGGTAATTCAATTCGTGAGCTATAAAAATTAATAATTAAGCACGTTTAGTAGTTAATTTTTTTTTTATATTTTAAATTAAAGCTATAAAGTAAATTAAATTAACAATTTTATTTTTAATAATATTTGCATTTTTTAAAGAAAAGCACAAGTTGCACGAAAATAAGTTATTGATATTTTGCCTCATTCCATTGTCTTTCAGCAAAATGTCAAAATTTCATTAAGAAAATATTGCTGACGAAGTCCATAAAAAAGCTTTTTTCAATCATCTCATTTTATCCCCATTTTCTCATAATCTTCTTTACTGTCGTATTTGCTGAGAAGCTTTTAACAATAAATAAACAGAAGTGTATCTTTGGAAAAGTTAAGATAAAGAGAACAAGATGGTAAAAGGGTAAGATAAAACTTCCGAAATGAAAATAAACTAATAACAATTAATCAAGCAATACAAATATCAAAGTCGTTATATCAAACCTCAGCATGAATATGTACTTTCTCTTACTTTGTAAAGATATCCAAAATTTATGAAAGATATGAGAATGTTCCTGTATAAAAGATCCTTCTGCATTTAATTTTTATTGCGAAAATTTTTTTATGTTCTTGTCATGATAAAAAAAGTTTCTGTCGCCGACAGAGTGAAAGTTTCTTACATGAGAATAAACCGTAAGATAAAATTCTTACACCCAAAAATTGTCCAAAAACCAAGCTTAATTTGTCTGTCAAAATCTCTTGTATGTCATAAAATTTTTACAAATTGAATGTGGAGGATTTTTTGAGTTTGTACATGGATGAAATTGAGAAAGAGAGTAAAATAAACAAGTTGAATATAACTTTATTCACTTAACTCGACTGAGAACTGATTTTGATTTAATTTTTTGCCAGACTTTTTTATATCTGCAAGAAAAATGTCTTTGCCAACTTTTTTTCTCCTTGAATTGCTTAATAGAACATGAAAATGAACAAAAGTAGTCAAGCTTAAAGCGCTTTTACAGCTCATAATACTGGAATATTCAGAATTCATCTTAAGTTTTTGATTCAGCTCTTGAATCATCCCAAACTACAACTATTCAGTCAGTCGCCATTTTAAAACTAGTTTAATCCTTGCCAATATCATTACACATGTTGCATTGTATGCCAAATGTCAAGGCTTATCGTAATCTTTCTTAAAAAAGAGCTTATTTGCAAAATTTTTAAAACTCAGTTTTAAGAATTCCTTCATTTGAATTTTTGTCAATAAACTTTCAATGATACAATTCTTTGTTTCGACAATGTTCCAAAGAATATCTCTATTTTATCGTCTTTTGAAGGATGAACAAGGCGAAAAAACTGTAGATAAAGAATAAATATAATTTGTTTATTTTTTTCGATTAAGTTGAACTTTAAAAAAATTGAAAAAAAAAAAACTTTGTGATTTTATACAAATAAAGTAATTTTGATCCGATTCAAGGTCAATTCTTAGTCACAAAATTTATTACAAACAAAAATTTATTATTCTTTAATTTTCAAATAACCTCAAACCACACTCTTTTTAAACCGCAAACATAAAAAAATGAACAATCCAACAATAATAAATTGATGATTTCATTTTTGTTTGAAAATGACTGAAATATCATTTACATAATATGGTCCCAATATTAATAAGTCACTGCTGACATAATTAATAATCTGAAGCTCCAATTCACAGTTTCTAATTGTTTTGAATTTACAATAAATTGTTCTTAGTTAAGCCTGTTAAGTCTTCTTACTAAAAACCATTAAATTGCGGAAGAAATATATATTATTTAATCAACGGATCTCAACCAACAGTTTTACAGATTTTGTTCTAATTTTAGTCAAAACTTTAAAATGCTTTTTTGGTTGAAAACTATTCTTAATAAAGGAATCATTCATAAATTTTTATCAACACAATTTTTATGATATTCGAAATATTTTATTTATCATATTTAAATAAATATATTTCTCATGTTTAAGATTATTAAGGATTATTCAAGTTTGGTTGATAAATTTATATCTGATAATATTATACGTCATATGACACTAATTTCATTAATTTGCTTACTAAAGTAGCGTACTACGATCATTCCTAACATAACGTTTTGCCTCTGAAATGGAATAGCTGATAACTCGCTCCTCAGAGAAGGAATTTTTGATAAGAAAAATCAATAGAACAACAGTTAATATACTAGAAACGCCTAACCAGAATGGCAAATAGCTTTCTTCACCATTAGTACCATTAGAGCGTTTCTCATATTTTTCTAATTCAGCTTTCAAATTGTTTACAATTTTTTCATCCAGCTTTTGAATATCGTCTGAACACTTTTTCATTGTTTCATATATATGATAATTAATAATTTCACTAAAATTAGTCATAAAATGATTCATACGGCTGACATTTCTCCATAGTATTTCAAAGCTCCAATCTTTCAAAATATGAACTCTTGTGACTAATGAGGAGTTTGGGTATTTGCTCATTATTAATTCTTCAAATTCTTTTAAATTATTATAGAACATTTGAAAATCATCTAAATTCAGGGTCTGCTTAGCATTTTCAAGTTGCTTTAAATTTTCACATTGCTTGACATACTCGATATCCTTGCAATTTATTTTCAAAAGATCTTGAATTGTTTTTACTTCTTTATTATTTTCGCTATTTTTATCAATGCAGTCATTCTTGAATAAATTCAAGTGAGTCAGTTGACTTAGTTTGGTAAAAACTCCTGTGCCGATATGTTTAATTTTATTATCTCCGAAATAAATAAACTGTAATTTAATGTTGTAGTCGAAAATTCCGATTTCCAAAATTTCAATGTCATTTTTCTCGAGATATAGAACCTTCAAATCCTTAAAAGGACTTAAATCATGTTGATGAATTTCTTTTAATTGACCATATGAAATTTCAATCACTTGAAGCCTGTCGCTTAAAACATTGGCTAGATTTTGTGGAAAATAATAACAAGTTTTTTCACGGAAACGAATTCCTATTGTTTCAGCAAGATTAGTTTCTGTTAAGTTTGTTGATGTCAAAAATGCATCTTCTGACGATTTTATTGAGAAATCACCAACTACGTTGCAAAAATCAACATTGTTTAAGACTAAAAATCCTTTTTTGTCAAGATTGCATGAAAAATAAAATGACCAGGAGCCCTCAAAGAGTACAATTAACGTTAAGACAATTAATCTGTAATTGTTTTTCGTTTAATCTTGAATTCCTTCAACTATTTCAATTTGTTTTTTACTTACATTAATTTGTTCATCTTTGAAAGTTATCTATGAAGTTTGAAATATCATTAATATTAAAACAGTACTAGCGAAATTTGATGTCAATAGCTCGACATGTAGACGAGAAATAAAAAAATTATTTTAGTTTATATGAATGGAGTCAATATGAATCAGGGTATGATGAATTTTATTCAACTGTACATTCATGGCGAGATAATATTTATTTTGTTTAAATTTAAGTTTGTTTTATGTTTAACAAAATTTGTAATATTTTTGTAGATATCTAAAATCTATCATCACTTGTTGTGTAGCAACAAGTACCAGGAACCAGGAACTGATATTGACAGTTCTGCATTTATTGTATTTACTACCAGTTCCTTGTTCCTGGTGCTTGTTGCTACAGTTGTAATTCTTTCAAAAATTATATTAGCAATCTTTAAACATGCATACATTAAAAATTAATAATTATTATTGATTAAATAATAGAAGAAAAACTTTATTATAAATGATACTTATAAAAGAAATTTAAACACGCTAAAGATAAGATACTCTATTTCCTTCATGGTTGTATCGTTTAAATTCAGAAATTGAATAACTAAAAATTTGATCATGAGCAACATAATTCTTAATCAAAACTATTATTAGAATCAGTACTAATACACTGCATACACCTATCCAAAATGGTTCCCATGTGAAACTAGAAATTGTTCCTTTTAAAACTTGTCTATTCTGAACTACTGTTATTTTACTCAAGTTGAGCCTTAATTCTTCTAGAATGCTTGTTTCTTCTAAATGTAATGATTTATTTTGAACTATAAATTGTTTTGCTTTTGCTTGTTCAATGACTTTTGTTATGTTATGTTCATAGAAGTATTGACTATCCTTCATTTCATTCAATCTTTCTATGACTGTAGTATTATTCTTTGCAATAAGATCATTGAGTTTAATTACATTATTCCATAGCATCAAAATATTCCAATTTATCAAAGCTTTTGTCCTTTTCTTTATTGTAGAATATTGAAAGAATCTTGAATCTTCGAGATTTGTAAGATTCTTATAAAATGCTGGATATTCTTCAATTTTAAGATTTCCAGCTTTTTCCTCAAGAATTGTTAGATTTCTGTTTATGCTTATGAATTCTGCATTTTGACATTGATTTTTTATAGTTTTCCTAATTTGTTGAAGTGCTGTTGAATTAATTTCTGTGAATTTATCAATGCACTCATTGCCATTCAAATATAAATTTGTTAAGTGAAGCAATTTTTCAAATACATTTCCATCAATATGAGCAAGTTTATTTTTTGTAAATAAAATATACCTTAAACTTTTGTTATCATCAAAAAGACCACTTTCAAGTACTTCAATATCATTCGAATAAAAATAAATTACTTCCAACAACATAAATGGTTTTAAGTCTGTCTGATGAATTTCCTTTAATTGACCAAAAGAAATTTCAATCACTTTAAGATTGTTAAACATCCTATCTAAACCTTGAGGAAAATATCTAGTAGATATGTTAAAAATACGAAATCCTACTGTGTCGGTTCTTATGCTATCATTCGTATTTGAAGTGACAATTGCTTTTTCTTGAGTTATTATGTTAAGATTGTTGACTACATGGCAGCATGAAACATCTTTCAAATGCGAATATGTGTGTTTGATAAAAGAACATTCGATGATTAGCGATTTAGATGGTTTTATTGATGCTAAGATGCAAATTATTAGTCTAGAATTAAAAGACAAAATGAAAAAGTCAGTCAGAGGTATCACTTGATAGATCAAAGTGCTTATTGATTTTAAAATATCACTTTATAAAAACACAGAATATTATGAAAACTTACAATATTTCCTTCATCATTATTGTTTGAAAATCTACAAACCACAATGTTTAAGTCAAAAGAATCTTCAAATACCCTAACTAATATCTCCAATGTTTACATCATACTGGACGAATCACAAACAACAAGTCACTTAACTGAAAAAATGTCACTCACGCAAAGCAATTTTTCATAATCATGTTTATAGACCTATTTAGTATTCATGGGTTTATGCGATGTGATAAGATGCACATACATTCATATTTCTGTATCATTACTTACACACACAAAAAATTTTCTCAATTATGAAAAAAACAGATATGAATATAATTTTGGAAAGATGAATCACATTTTGTTTATTTACATACTTGTTAGTTTTAAATTATAGAGGGTTTATTTTTTTATGACGGAGTTCATATAACAGTTCTATAACATTCTGACATAAAGATTAAGGAGAGTGACTAAAATCAAATTTCAGAATCACATCAAACTCTCAATTATCAAATCGATTTGAATTAGAAACTTTATAGCTTATGATGTGATCATTAAAGAAATATCTTTTAATAAGTACAATCATAAGAAACAGCATTGAAGCACAGCAAAATCCGATCCAAAAAACTTCTAAAGATTTTGAGTTTGACTCTTTGTGAATTTGATTTTGTGGAGGAGCTGAGTCGTTAATTTGATTATAATGCATTTCCTCTAATTTGTATGAAACTACTTTAGTATCCTCAATTGTCTGTAGAACTTCAGTATGATCATCATGGCTTCCACTGCTCTCTGATTCTTGTTTGTAAAGATTCTGTTCCAATTTGTCCAACCTTTCTAGCACAGATGCATTAAACCGTGTCAAGAATTTATTAAAATTACTAACATCACTCCATAATACTTCAAAGCTCCAGTCCTTTAATCGATGAATTCTTTTCGTGATTGTTGAATTTTTAAAGTTCTTTACTTTTGTCATATTTTCAAGATTTGTAAGATTTTTGTAGTAAGTTGAAAAATCTTCTAGCTTCAGATTATTTTTGATACTTTCAAGAACAATAATGCTTTCATGTAAATTGGCATAATTTTTACTTTTGCACATAAAATTCGTAGCTTTAATTACTTTTTCAAGTGGATTTAAATTGTCAGCTTGTAAGTCAATGCATTCATTTTTGTTCAAATATAAATGAATTAACTGATTAAGGTTATCAAATACATTTTGATCAATATGAATGATTCTATTTTGCGATAGTGTAATAAACTTTAAATTAATATTATTTTCAAAAACTCCTTCTTCAAGTATCTCAATGTCATTTGCATACAAATATAAAACTTCTAATAGTCCAAATGGATGTAAATCTTCACGACGAATATCTCTCAAATGACCATGAGAAATTTCAATTACTTTAAGATTCTCGAAGACATTTTCTAGTCCGCGTGGGAAGTACTGTGTAGTTTTATTGTAAATACGGAATCCAGTCGTCTCATCTTTTTCAATGTCAGATCCGCTCACAAACTTAATTAATGCTTTATCAGGGAATTCTATGTTGAGAATGTTAACTACATGACAGCATGAAATAAGTTGGACATGAGGATAGTTATGAATGATATAAGAGCAGTCAATATCCAATGATGAAAATGATCTTAAAATTGTTGCGAAAGTAATGAAAAATCTAGAAATAAAAGAACAATTTAATAACAAGTTAAAGTCCAACTTTTCAAAACTTACAGTATTATTTTCATCCTTAAGATACAAAAACTATCTGATCTGATTAAAAATATGCAAAAATTTTTCAAGATTTCGAATTTTAAAATGCTATCCACTCAAGATATAAACCTCAAATAGCATCTCAGATAACAAGCAAAATTCGCTCACACGAAATCATTTGACATCTTCTCGGCAATTTAATCAAAAAAAATAAAGTATTATGACTTTTAATAGAGTATTTATTGTGATTACATGCTCACGCAGCTTTGAGACATCATTTGGCTTATTACTTTTTATTTGTGCTATAAAAAATTGCAAGTTTTTTTAAAAAAAATATTCACTGTCTAGTTGATTGGGTTGAACACGATCATGCATGATAAAACTTGTAACTTGCTTGTAACGTATGAAAAATTGGATATTTATCCTTCAAGATCAAGACAAGATATATAGATGGGCTCATACAGAGTATACTTGACCATACTCGACCATACTATTTTTTGTGTACTTATACAAACAAAAATTTTTAAAATTTTCTATTTTCAAGTTTTAATTTAAATATCGACAGATGCAACAACATTTGACTTTAGTCAGTTACTTTTAATTATAGCAAAGCATTTGCAATACTCCTGTATCAACAAAACTTAACAGAAAGTTGAAAATTTTGCAAAACAAAAATTGAAAATTTTCTTTTATAGTGTTAGTGTTTTTAGAAAATTCAAATTTTTGACGTTTAAATCTGCGATATTTTTGTATGAGCACATCTATATATCTTGGATCAAGATTATCAATAACTGTAGCTTTGGATAGTTTTACGAGTCAGAGATGGCTAGACCACAGTGCTTTCTAATTTGTTCTTGTAATTTTTCCGTACATAGCTTTCAACTAAGCTTGTTAACGTAATTATTGATAATTAGTAATCAAGCCATTTCACCTTACTGCAAGCTGTTACATCAGCATTTCAAAACTCTTATCCTTATCATCACACATATGTTGAATTATAAGCTAATCTTTATGCATAACTAAATGTACAAACCATGATTTTTTACTGCTTTCGAAATTAATTCTATTATACGTCATCTGACTCGGAAGCATCTGACAATAGAAATCAAATTTTATTCCATTATTCAATGTGAATGTTAAAGAAAATAAGATTTCATCTTTCATCTACTTTTGATTCTTATAAAGCATGAGGAAACCATTTCATTTCTTCATTTTTATTCCTCATCTATTTTTATTTCTATGTTTGAAAAATTAGATTTGTACTTATAAAGACATGATGTGATCAGACACACACATGGGCTTATATGTTCATTCATAATAAATGAAATCAGTAGGATTCAACAGACGCAATCTATGTGACTGATGTCATATGAAAAGACATAAAAATTGAGAAAGATTTTTCATTAAAGATGCTGATTCGTTTACTTGTTGCGTAATGTTTAATCACAACATGATTAATGACATGAATGTTTTTGAGAGTTGATAATAAAGCTAGCTAATTCATACAATTTTGGTGAAAAGTCAGATGTCACACAGTTCTAGACAGTCCGGAGGGCGTGCTTCATGAACATCCCAATAAAGTATTTCACTGAAACTAGAAAGGGGTCGTTCACTTATGACGTCCGAAATTAACGGTCATTTTTCAAAAAAGAACAATGGATTTCCAGGAATTTCTATTGTTCTTTTCTTGCTAACCCCCCCACCCTGGACGTCATAAGTGAACAGCCCCATATCGTAGTTTTGATTATTTAATAATAATAAAGTTTCAACCTTTTAAAGACAAAATGACTGCTTTTCTACAATTATTATAGCTCTTACGCAAAGTTCGCCTTGAAAAAATAAATAAGAAATTTCATTATTTCACTCAATTACATTCTCAATTGTGAACCATAGAATGTAGAATGAAAAAATTTCTTTTCGTTTCCTTGACAAAAAAAAAATTATCTTACATTTATGAAAGACGTATATAATTCATCCGTAAACATCCTTGAGCATTAATCAACTTCGACAATTTTTTATCTATATTCCTTAGACTCAGTAAAGGGAAAATGATGTATTTTTTTCTGTAACATCTCATCATGCTATGTCATTGTTGCTGGTGATGTTTGCGGTTACATAAATTAATTTTCTTCCTTCCGTAGATGTAGATGAGAAGGAAAAAGAGGATTAAATACAAGTGAAATGATACAAGCGCATTTCCTTTAGGCTATAATTCAATATTCTAGATACTCCATATCTGAGCTACAGCATTAATCATTTATATGACATGATGAAAACAGAATCATGATCTAAAAGTCATTGACCCTCTTTTTCAGCACATAAAAAGCTTTATAGCCCTATAACTAAATTTATACATCAAATTTTAGTTTTAAAACTTTTTGGCAAACTATCGGAATTCATAAATCAAGTAGACAAATGTTTATTAAAATTTATGGACCAATCGAGATGATATATTGATAGAATCTTAAATATATGTGAGAATGAAGTTGAAGCTTCATGAAAAATTTTATGTAGATTTTATAGATCATGTGTAGCGAGGGATGTAAATTGATAGAATTGGGTTGTAATTTATAAGAGAACTTGAACAAAAGATTTGGAATAATAGTTTGCTCCTGAAAATAAGAAGGATGAAATGTTGTTACTTAAAATTTTCAAAATATAAAGCATTAAAGTTTAAATAGTTTTCAGTAGTATTCCAACTGTGTTTTTGAGGTTGTCGCAGTTTTCCATTTATTTATTCTCCCATTCATGAGCTAAAATTTTATGTTCATAAATACAACAATTATACATCTGTTGTTGATTAAACCTCCAAGCATTTAGAATTATTCTTGGCTCTATAACTTTTACGATATATACAAAAAAAGTTTTCAGACAAAATTAACCTCATTTAAGTTTCGATGTATTATGTTAATTAACAAAATATTAATATTGTTGTAAATTTAAGATGAAGCTTTGCCAAAAGCAAAGAAGCAAGATGATTCTTTTGACTGGAAGGTTTGACACCACATCTCACATCCCAATGTACAATAGAACAGCATTTGTCATTTAATTTAATTTTCTGGCTTCAATTTCATCCTTCAAAAATAATTGAGTCTAGCTTCATTCTTAAATCTTTTCATTGAATGAAGCCTGCTGTTTCAGTTGTTTAACAAAAATGAATTAAATCTATAATAAGTCAGTAGTTCGACCACAAACTTAATCTATATAAAAATCAATTGATAACTTTAATCAATCAATTGAAATCGATTCTCACGCAAACATTACTCATAATTATTTTAGGATTTCCTGTTCTATATTCGAATCAAAAGCTTTAATCATGAGAAATTCTCAAGAAGTTCTTCTCATTCAATCAATTCCCAACGTACTTTTCGTTATGTGGGCGAGTCGTTTCAGTTTATTTTCTTATTAAGTTTTGCTCTGTTCAAGAAATCTCTTTTAAAGAGCTTTATTTTCTATTTATATCCTTTATTCATCTGGGAGTAAGAAGTCAACATCTGTTGCTATAAAATGTCTTATTTCGATTCATATCTTTGTATAATAAAAATGAATGATTTCTACTCTATTATTAACCTCTTTCAATCATATGAAATGTGGTCTTAAGGGGACCATCATGAATGACATAAATTAAAAAATTCAGAATGACCCATTCAGCCATTAAGATGTCTTACTTACTGCCATCTTTATACAAACAAAAGGACATACGACATTCAATCCTTCTCTCATTGAATATCCTTATTTAATAGGAATACACTAAGTACTACAGCAACAGATCAATTCCATGTTTTGAAAATATATTGTGCTTGTAGATGACATTAAGTTTCAATTAAGCAAAATATTTCATTTACTTATCACATATTACATAATTAATTAAAGAATAATTTGTTTCTGATTCAACCGCAACAAGTTTTAATTATTTTATAGTATTGAAACCACATACAGAAACATGAATCTTAAATTCTATCTCGCTTTAAGAAAACAAAAACATAGATTTATTGAAACTGCCATCTGCAATGCCCACCCATAATGTTTAGCAAATTATTTTGCTGTGTTTCGACATAACAGTAAGCAACGGGTGGTCAATGATAGCAATAAAACAAAAAGAAAAACTGTTTGAGTCAAATTATGGATGATAATTGTGTCAATTTGGGTACAAAATAATTAGCACAACTCATGTTGTGAAAATTCATTACGAATAAAACAATTTGAAGAAGTTTTAATGCACGGTGCAGGTTATTCATTAGAATTTGTTAAGTTTTAATGAATTTCATACAATATATGGCATTGTGATGTTATCACCAAGACAACTAGAGTAGTGTCAAAGAGATTGTGAACTAATTATTTGAAGCAGCATGGATTCTAATTGGATTGACCTATTTTGTTTATGATCATGCTCTGAAACGATTTGTAATTCCTTTAAAGTGATGTAAACTTTCTCTGACAAAATAATCATTAAAGGATTAATTTTGTAGAAGTGATTAATATGTTCCTAGACACAAATTCAGATAAATATATAGATTCATAAATCTAAATTCCGAACAAATCTCTTTGAAGTTCCTTAAAAAACTATTCTTGTTACGTCTCTAGACATCTCTAATTAGCTACTACGTGATAAATAAAAGGTATTGTGCATGAGCACATTTCAAAACAAGGAAGAAAAATGGATCGATAGGAAGTTAATAACTTCAGACTAGCCCTCTCAATTTGATCTCAAACCATTTGTCTAGTATTAAATTTGCTTGCACGAAAGCAACTTTCTAATGAGTATTGTTAATAAATAGAAGAAATATTGCCTTAGCAATAATTGTTATGTCACTTTCCGTTTATTTCAATTTTCTCTCTGTATTTTCCCTTCTTTATGTATTTCTGCTGCGTACACGAGTTTTACGATGGCTATTGGTACTTTTTCTTCTTCTTCTTTTTTTCGATTTAACAATTAAATATTTTTATTTACATATTTTCTCTGTTCGTATGAATTTTTTTGAAATTGACATTCAGTTCTTGTTGGCTTTTGTGTCCAAACAGATCGATGAATTTATTATTTTTTTCATACGGGTGTAAATAACATTAATTAAGTTTAAAGTGTTGTGTGACACTGAATAATACATAATAATTAATCAGAATCGGAAGTCTATTGATCATCATCGTGGCTGTATAGTTTATTATATATTTCATTAAACTGCATGTTGGGTTGAATTAACGAAACGGAATCAAATTATTAAATTGGATTATGAATTTTATCGTTTGGCTTGTTGATTATTAAATAATTTGAATATTGTGAACTTGACCATAGCTTTCAATGATTCCATTCATCACTAATGAATTCATATAAAGTTATTGATTAAATTAAAGATTGCAAGTGCATCATGCAAACTTTTAATTAAATCTGAACATAATCTGTGCTCAGAACAACTTTTTTAATTTATTAAAAGATTTCTATGGAAATCTCAATGGTATCTTTAGGATAAATCCCAAATTTAATTACTTCCTTGACTGGGGTGCACTTGGGCCAATTGCCGCGCATAAAGATCCTGTTAGGACTGCTCTATCCTTTGAAATCTACTGTCAGTAAGGAATTTTAAGGACTCTAGAATCCTTTGCAACGCATGGAAGTTGAAATCCCCAATTATTGCTTTTTAATTAATCAAAAAAATTTTTCTACAAATGTCCAAGAACCTGAAGAATTAACAATTCATTATAGAAATTAAACATTACTTTTTTGTCCCGTTTTATCCTTGATATTGATTCAAGTGGTGTACGAATGACTCCGTTTAAGTCACTTGACTATTGCTATGACCCTAGACTTCAAAATCTGCAAATTTGATGTGCAACATTTTAAGAAACTATCGTTTTGTAGCTAAACACATCCCAAGATATTGAACTTTTTAGCTTTATAACCCTCTACTCTTTTTGAGAGTTTTTTTCTTCGATTGCTGACTAGTAATTGATCTCTGAATCATTACAAAAAGTCTAAAAAATTTTAAATTTAAAATTCTAAGTTCCTAGCCAAGTCAAATATACAAAAATATAAAACTTAATTGACTGTTGATAATAAAGTGACATTAAATAATATCCTCGGTGCAATTTGAAAATAATGATGAAAAAAATACACACCAAAGAGTAGGAATAAATAAATAAAAATAAGTAAATGCATAAATCCATCATCCAGCTGAATAAATGTGAATAATGACTATGCATAGTTGCGCATATTAATTTGATAAATTATATATTTTTTTCACATGTTCGTGAAGCGTTTTTTGTGTAAGGACGATAACAAGATACATACAAAAAAAAAAATATATAACTCAGTATCATTTCAAACGTTGTACTGTTATGTTAGTGGCAGGTCATAAAAAGCAAGGAATAAAATTAATGATTGTGAATATATAACAGAAAGTGCAATAATAGTTGATACATGCAAGTGAGCGAAAAGCTTTTCAAAGTGATGAATTATGGTACAGAAAATTGAAATCGCTGTCATAAGCGGAAATGAAGCAAAGTGTGATGAAAAATTGGTAAAAATGTTTTCTTTTTTTTGCATTTGTTTACGTAGCCATTCAACAAATATTGTTATTTTTATCGTCCAATTCATTTTTTTCCATTAATATCCTTTATACACTTTATTTGCCACTATTGTTTCATGTTTATATATATAAAAGGAGAGAGAGAGAGAGAGAGAGAAAAAACAATGTTGTAAATATTTACCGATATTGATATTGGATATCCATTTGTCTCCCCTTTTTCTCATTATTTCAATTGCTTCTTTTCCTTTTTGACATTCTACGTTGATCTTCCGACATTTAGAGTACAATGAATTTTATTATTTTTCAAGTGTGTGGTTTTTGAAAGTTCTAAAAAAGTAATAACATTGGATACATTAGTATATGTAGGTTCTTCTTGATGATGATATTAAAAATAGATTCTACGAAAGTGCTCAGATTTTTTTTTTTCGAAATTTTTGGGACTAAGATCTTAACTAATATGCTCAAGGATGTCCTTAGGTCTCGAATAAAATATTCAAAACTTTAACAATCGTGATTAATTTACACAATCTTGACACAAACTTTTCACACCGTGTCCTCCGTGTCAATGTCTCGTCAACTAATGCTTCTTAATTAGAACCTCCAAAACACACAAATTTTGCTATATAAAATATAAAGAAATGTACATAAAAGATGATTTATGAATAATTTTATTTCTTTACATTGTTCATGACTTTTTCTCTTTTTCCTTTTCATTACCTTTCAGAATTCATCGAAAGATCATTCCAATTCCGTGTTTCAACGAACATTGAATGCATTAAGACGTAGAATATCGAAGAAAGGACATCGTACGAGACCGCCAGAGAAATTTAGAGCCGAGAAATTTGCAATTGCAAATCAAAACGCAATGGGGCAGCAACAATCGTTGAGTGGCAATCCATCAGATGGTATCGTCAGTCGACTATCTTTCGATCCGTCCTTGCCCTCATATTATCGGGTACGAAAATAATTTCACAATTTTATGTAAAAATTAATTTTTTAAATTTTCATTAATAGTGGTTAGCTGTAGTCTCCCTAGCGGTTCTTTACAATATAATTTTTGTTGTTGGACGTGCAATATTTTGGGAAATTAATAAGAAAGTAACGCTGCTATGGTACTTTCTCGACTATTTATGTGATTTCATTTATCTTCTCGACACACTAGTACATGTACATGAAGGTAAGTGAATTTTCTTGTGTTCAACTATGGAATTTATTTGAGAACTTAAACAGGAGCTTGAAGATATACAATCCGATATGCAATTGTTGTAAAAACTTTCAACTCATGTGAATCTTAGGATGCAATAATTTAAGCTGTGACATTTACTGTTTTAGTGTAAATATAATGGTGAAATAGTGAATGTAGAGCTGGATAAAAGTTTCAAGGGATAAGTTGTGAGTTACATTTTAATAGTAGACTTGGATATTGACTTCCAATTTATTTCTCACTAAGTTTCTTGGTGATTATTTTAAAAAGGAAGATTGTGATGCTCCAAAACATTTTTAAATCGAAAAAAACTTGAAGAAGGAGGTGTTAAAAAGCAATATCACAAAAATTTAAATTAAATGTCAATCAAGAAAAAACTCACATATGCTAGACAACTTGACAGTCGAATTTCTAATACTTGTATGCATCCTTACATCAAAAAGTATGATTAGTAACCTTGAAAATATATCAAAAGCTTTCGACATTGAAAACATATTTTTTGCACATTTCCAAGTAAAAGTGATAAAAATTAGATGCCCGATCTGTGCAGTTTTTAATGCTGCTACAAAGAAGCCGTGTAAGACGTCTGTCAAGAATTATGTCAGGGGTAACAGTTTAACTTCTCGATGGGTTGTTGGATTTTTATTCAAAACAAATTCCAATCTGATCTACTAGCTACGTTCATACACTAAGTGAAGTGTTGATCGGGATAACCTCTTGTTATTGTGCACGTCACTAAACTGCCTCCACTTAAATTTTGACGTTCGCAACTTATCATAAAAAAATTTCTAATTGACTACTGCTGCTGACGTCAGAAGGTTCTTTTAGGAATTAAAATGGATAAATTACAAAAAGAACTTTTTATAGCATGAATAAAATTATAGACCCTCATTACTGAATGAACTTCTAAATAACGAAAGAAGAGGAAATTTATGAAGTAAATGGGAAATTTTTTCGGAAAAAAGAAAAGTTCATGACATTTTCAAGACAAATCTCTTCTTAATTCAAAAAGTGTCAGAAAAGTAAGGTGAAATTTGTTCCAATGGATTGACTTTCATTTTCGACTATTTTCGATATTTCATTTCAAAAAGTCATAAAAATATGAAGAATCATCAATATGGCTGAACTTTTATGACGATCAAGAATAAATGAACCATTAATGACTCTTAATTTGCTATTCAAAACAATTTCTTACTCATTAGAAAAATTATTGAATTAAGTTCGTCTTTAAAGCTACTTTATTTCAATAAGCTGTTTTTGATATTCTCTTTAATACATTATAAAACTAAAAAACAGGAAGCGGATGGATGTAAACAAAAGAACAAAGTCTAGCTGAAAGAAGTGGATATGGCATTTGTAATTAAATGTTGAGTTTTAATAAATAGAAAAGAGTTTGATTCATATCACGTTTTACAAGATTTCTTATCGTACAGGATTCATGGTTGACGTATTGAGATGGGTTGAGTGAAAAAATGTGATACAGCTAGGCATATTGAATCTTCTTCTTTGTATTTCGAACATTATGTAATAAATGAAATTTAGAATGATAGTCTGCGAACAACTGACGATAATTGACAACATTCTTATTGATTTCATTCGATCCTGGGAGTATTTTTTAATAAAAAATTTAAGATCCTAGAGATTCAGAGCTTCACAGTTGAAACTGAATCTTTCCTTCAAAATGCAGCAATAATTGGCGACAAAAATCATAACTCAAGTGTCAATTTACGCATTTTTTACATTTATCTGTAACAATAGAAATCATTGACGTATTTCTCATATTTCTTCTTCTCATAAACAACAAGATTTTATGTTATTCGAGTTAGGGACCATTCATAAATTATGTCCAATATATAGGATGTCTATCGCTGCGTATAGCTATGTCTTTTTTCTTTTTAAAAAAATGGCAACAGCAAAACTTTGAGTCCTTGAAAAATGTTTTTCCTTAATTCATATAATTTCCTCTTCATATCATTTGTGATTCTGTATACGACGGATAACATTGAATGGTCTTATGTAAGAAAAAGAAGAAATAAATATCGATCATTGAGAAATATAAGGGTAAGCATAAAATAAAGGAAAGGAAATGAAGGAAATCATCTCATATTGCGTGACAGCTTGTAAAGGAAAGTTTTAGTACAAAGAATACAAATAATCCTCAACCCTTGAAACACTAAAGTAAACTAATAACGAAGTAAGGCTGGAAATACACAAATCTTTTAGAAACGGTCGCATTCAAATTGATGTAGAATGAATTTTTAACTTTTTGGTCCTTTAATTGAATTAAAATAGAGTTTATTAAAAGTTCAAGGTTAAATAGAAAATAGCTTCAGCAGATTATTTTGCAGATGATAAATAATAAGAATATTAAATAAGTACAACGACTTCTACTTCACAAACACAAATATTGCAAATTATTGAATTGCATTACAATTGCGTAAGCTTGTCTGAATCTGTTCAGTGCAACCAAAATAACACATTGTTTAACATCAAAAACATTCACAAGCAATTCAAAACATCTGCGATGAAAATTGTCCAAATGGAAATTTTAAAAAATAATAATGTCAATAACACGAAAGAAAAAGTTCCATACAACATTTGATAGAATTTTATTAAAGGCTATTTAATCACTGCCACGGGAAATTTCTTGAATGAAAATGAATATTTTGTTGTGGTAACGAAAATTGAGCGATTTTTAATAAAAAATTTTGTTTGCTTTTATTTGATGGATTGGGGGGGGGGGGGGGGGGTGTCGCGAGTTGTAACATGTTGTAACAAGGGGGGGGGGGGGTGAAAAAAGTCGGTTTTTTGCGTAACGTAATAAGTGAACGGCCCCTTAGAGATAACGAGAAATTTATATTATGTTGAGTAAGAAAGAGACTTTGAGAGAGTTAATCAATCAATTGTGTTGGTGATAATCGAAATTGCTCATAAAGAAGTAAAGAATCATTAGTTTTCAAAGGCTCAAAAAAGATATTGTAAAATGTCTTTGACGTTGCGTACAAACTAGTAAAATCGGGAACTATTTGTTAACTAGTGTTTGCCTCGATATAGCTAGAAACTTTACAGCCTACATGTTCTTTTAACATTTAAATTGATAAAAATGAAACATTTCTTAAAACCAAAGCACATTTTTTTCTATTTCTCATAACTTTCATGCTTTAAAAAAATTACCTTAAAAATTAATCAATTTTATATATAATTTATACAAATTGAGCTCCAAAATTTCTGCAATTTTAAATCAAATGAAATCAAAACGAATAGTTATTTCAATCTTCTGCCAGCATTAAAGTACTGTAAAAGATTCTTACTTATTTAGCCTTCGCTTGTCGTTATTAAAAGATTTAACAAAATTGAATGCAACGAAAAAGATGTCAATAAAATTATAGAATCAATCATTGTGCAAATTTTTCTAAAAATAGAAGCAAAACAAATTCTTAATTGTTCCTAGAAAAAAAATTAAATCTTTGCGGAAATTGAAGCATTTTAAATATCCAATCTTTATTAAATGAAACTTTTCGGCTGTGCATTGCATAATATGTTTGATTTCATGATGTGTAAATATAAAGCCTGAGGTAGTAATATTATCATTGCGGATTTTCGATATAATTGGCATCAATGAGTTCGTGCATTGTAATGAAATAAATTATTATAGTTTGCATTATCTAAACCAAAGAGTAGTGAAATTTGACATATTTTCCTTTGAAATACTAGCTAATTGAATTGTTTATACACGATGAGCAAAAGCTCGGATCGACACTAGTATTTATTGAACCATTCTTATTAACTTACTCAATTTGCAATTCTTTTGTGAAATATTTTCAATCAAATGACTGTAAATACTAATAAGTTTAAAACCATGGAAGTTTATTCTGTAAATATTACTATATGCTTAACATATATAAGTAACGAAATGAGATTTCAACAAAATATTTCCCATTTATTTCATGACTTTGAAATTTTTGCACGTGTTTATCGGATTGTTCGATTGATTTTTACTTGCGATTAAAGTTTACCATTACAAAAAATACGACTGCAAAAATATATTATTGGAAATGTGTCACAAATAAATTAAAATATTTAAATTAAAATTATTTAAATTTTATTTTCATCGTATTCATATTTATTATTATTTTTTATCAGCCGTATTTTTTATCTATTATTTGAATGTATTTTAGGCTACCTCGAGCAAGGTCTCCTCGTACGTGATGCCAAAAAATTGCGCCAACATTATTTCAGCACGAGTCATTGGCGTTTAGATGTCTTATCAATGCTACCAACAGACTTTCTTTACTTTTGGTGGGGTCCAAATGAATGTAGCTACGATCGCGTTCCATGTGCAGTTATCGTACGAATTAATCGTTTATTAAGGCTGCCTCGTATGTGGGAATGGTTTGAGCGCACTGAAACAGCTACAGGATATCCAAATGCATTTAGAATTTGCAAAGTAAGTCAAACTATCAATTTGAAATATTGCATGTGTGTAGGATATGAATCATATGAATGTCGACATATGCAAATTTTACCCTGAAAATTGAAATGTAATTTAATCTAATTGATGGATGGGCTTTTACAACAAGGAGGAAGGACATGTGATACAATCTTTTGAAAATTAATTACAACTTAAATTCCATTCACTGAATGATGATGATGGCATCAATTAAATGATTAATGGAAATTTTGAAATGTGTTGAATATATTTTTGAACTCGAAGTTGTCATTTAAGTGGCATTATTAATTGTTTTGCTGCTTTTTGAAAAGGAAGAGCTTGAAAAATATTTTTCCTCTTTCCGACCTTTTCTTTTTATTTCCTTGTAAATGATGAAAAATTACAATTGAACAATGTGGTTTGTCACCTGCTGCTACATTTCTTTTGAAACCAGATACAGCAACACAAATGGTTTGTCTATTGCCTATACTGTTTGTCTTTAAGTGACTGGTGAAAGTTATATGGTGTTTAGTCAGAAGCATAAAGGGGCTGGAGTTTGCAGTAAGCTCTACTTGTGGAATATAATTATTTAATGCAGTTACTAAGGACAACACTAGACATGCCACTGAAGTACAGGATCCCAAAGAAACCAATCCCTTTTATATCAGCAATTAAAGTCATTTAATGAATTTTCATAAAAGCTTAAAATTTTCAATGTAATGCTTTAAAAAATCAATAAGACTTAACACATGAACGTCTCCTGCTTCGAAGAAATCCAAATCTCCTTCTAATCATTAATTTCCTACTTCAATCTATTCTCAAAATTCAATAAAAACGAGAGTATAAATACAGACAAGAATATAATGTCCATATAGGTCAAACCACATAAAAATGGCAACAATTTTTTCATCGCTGCTCTCAAATCAAGTTGTTATAAATCTTATCATTAAATGTGAAAATTACACCCAAAAGATATAAAAACATCCATCCTTCATTCTCTAAAGATCTTGAAAAGAGAAACCATGTCAGTGTTGTTTACTCATTTGGAGAAGAGGATAACAACATTATGGATAAAAGTTTTGATTAAAAATTTCCAACAACTTTTGTAATAATATTTCCCATTGATTTCATATCGAAATTCAAATTAATAATGGTGATGAGAATTTCCCATCAGGTTGTTTCCCCCCTCGACTCAATATAAGAATAATTTTCTCTACGACATTTTCTTCTTTTTTTTTCAAACAAATTTTAAGGTCGTGCTAGCAATATTAGTTTTAATACACTGGAACGCCTGTCTGTATTTTGCCATCAGTTACGCTCAAGGTTTTGGCAGTGACAATTGGGTTTACAATTTAAATGGTAATTTATGGCAATTTTGTGACGAGAAACAAAAAGTTATTGATGGTTCTAAATTCTCATTTCTCAATCATTTTAGGCACTCAAAACGCTTCACTTACGCGCCAATACATTTACAGCTTTTACTGGTCTACCCTTACACTCACGACAATTGGCGAAACACCAACACCTGAAAATGAAACCGAATACTTGTTTGTTGTTGCTGACTTTCTAGCGGGTGTGTTGATTTTTGCTACCATCGTCGGTAATATAGGTAAGTTGACACAAATCGTATGTTTATTCACATTAGTACCCTTCGCATCTATGCCTACCCTTTGAATTATCTCAAAAATATTTATACCTTTTTATTCATATCTGTCTTTCGTTAGGTTCAATGATATCCAATATGAATGTAGCACGTGTTGAATTTCAAAATCGTATGGACGGCGTTAAACAGTATATGGCATTTCGCAAAGTTGGTGGTGAATTAGAAGCACGAGTAAGTTTTATTGTACATTAACTATATGTCTTTTATATTTGGTCTGTGTATCGAATACTGATGGCTTTTATGGACATATTTTTTGTCATTCAACTATCATTGCATAACTCATGCTATAATTTTTGGACTTTCGTTTGACTATAAAATTGCGTTTTCGATGGTTCATGGAGAGATGATTGAAATTCATTTTTATCAAGCATAACGAGAGCATTCTGATGTTTCTGATGTGGATGAATATTTTTATACTAACTCAGCTGAGTATTTTGAGCAGAAACGCAAACATTTGAAAATAAAGTTTATTCATGACTGTTTACTTTGAAAATTTAATTAATACTCATGACTTTTTAAAGTCATGTATGCAAACGTGAAGCCAACAGAAATGATTGAATGGTTAAGTAAGGATCTAAGCCACTGCTACGCACCAACTTTAATAAGAAATCAGTTGAATTTCATATCTTCAACCCACAACATTTAGCATTAAGTCTCAAATTCAATTGTTTTCTTCGCCACTGACACTTTCTCATCGATTAGCTCTCAGGAGAAAGTTCCGAAGAATAATAGATGAAAGAAAAGGAATTTATTGAGTAAATATCCAAAGGCAAAAGCTCCTTTTGCTTTATCGACCTACATCTTACCATTTCATTCATACAGAGCATCCTACATCTTGAATATGATGTCATGAACCATATAAAACAAAATTGAGCAATAGAATGTTCATTTGCTCATGTGTAGAAGAATATATTGAATACAATGGTTTTATAAAGCTTCAATATTTGAATCCTAAAAAGCCATTTATATATTGTTGTGGCTTCAATTTTCCTGATGATGAGAAAATTAAAGGTGTTGATGTTTATATGTTCACATAATGTGGAGATATTTAAATTCTTCTATGTTATGACGTAAAGTGGGTCTAAATTTATTCCTATTATTCGTAAAATTGAGAACGTATGAGTGTTTTGTAAAGAACCAGACTATTTATTGTAGCACTTCATTGCTAAAAACTATATAGTCAAAGTGCAAGTCTTAAAACTCATTTTTTTCGACTACACATCTCAAAATCATGTATATTGCAGCATAAATGTTCTCATACTTTTGGTTTATGCTTTATTTCCATAAAGTTTATTGAAAAAATATTCTCCATAAACGTGCAGAAATTTACGGTACTAAGAAGATAAGACCAGATAAGACATTCTCAAAATATTTTCTCAGGTTTAAAAAAAAGTCTTCAGGGATTGTTCAGATATTGAGTAATGCTTAGTGGAGAACATGTGATGGGTCAATTTTAAGCCTTTTTACTTCCATCAAACAATTTAAGTTTTAGACTTCCTCTCCTAAAGAATCCTAGATTTAAATCAAGTTTCATAGAAACATTCCATGGCTTTACATTCCAATAATGTCGTGACTTGTATGATTTCTAGCCAATTTCTCATAAGAACTTCGCAATCTCGACTAATTGACCTAATTGAGTTTAGTAAATTGGCATAAAATGAAGTTCTCATCAAAAAACTTTTGAGTTACGAAGATAATTTTCTTCCTGCGTTTCCATAATGTCTGTCATTTTTGTATCAGTATCATACCATCTGTGCAGCAAAAGAAGAAAGAATTGGCAACATGAGATGAGTAGAAATTCAAAAATTGAAGACAAATGAAATTATTAAATGTAATTTAAAAAGGAAAATCATTAAAAGGCTTTAAAAGCATCAGCATTGAAATTTAATGAGAAATTTATACTTGCTTGACAGCTGCAATCTCCACAATTTTCATGAAACTTCCTCAAGTGAGTTCTATTTAGTTCAAATAAGGTTTTGTGAAAAAATAATTTGAAACCTTGGAAATTTTACTTCTTAATATGAGTTCATAGAGAACAAAGAAGAAATTTTTGAAATTTAATGAATACTAATTTATTGCCTATGGTAATTCAAGGTAACAGCATTATTAAGTGTGTATCAAGTCTACAGAATAATAATTAAGCTCTTGATGATAAAGTGAACTGGAGGAAGTCGGATGCAATGTAATCAAGTGATTAGGTACTGAAAAATCGAATTTGGCTATTCAAGGTTTGATACTCAAAAAGGCAATTTGTTTGCCATATAAATTAGTGCTATTTGCTTGTGACACTTTCATTCAACTATACCTGCTTAGGTAAATCGGAAATGGGCAATTCTGTTGATTAACTTTTTATAATCAATCCAGTCAAATTTAAAACAAAAAATTCAACCAATTTTACATTAAAAAATGAATTGCGATCGACACTAAAAACAAAAAAAAAGTATGGACGACAGCTCAAAGCTGTAAATTACTTTCATGAGCCAAAGAAAAAGCTTTATTTCCGCTCGAATGAATATTTTATATTTTGAATATACAAATAAAGGAAACGGAATGCAAAAAAGGAAAAAAGGAATTGCTCATGGTCGATTAACGCTTTCAATTTAATGCCTTTCTTCTCCATCACATTGTTTCTTTTTTATCAATATTCTTTTGAGGGTTGCAAAATCTTTTCTCTTCCTTTTCTCTTTGTTGGTCATTTACAGACGATAATTAACACAAAATGAAAAGGCATTGAGCTGGACAAAGTCATTAAAAGTCTAGTTGATACACAGAAGAAAAAAAAAACGCTGATTAAGATGAAAATCATTTAAAAATGTTTTTATTCGCTTCCGTAGGTCATTAGATGGTTTGCATATACATGGGCACAAAGTGGAGCACTTGATGAAGAACGGGTATTAGCAGCATTACCAGACAAACTTAAAGCAGAAATTGCTATTCGAGTACACATGGACACATTAAAACAAGTTCGAATATTCCAAGATTGTGAGCCGGGATTATTAGAAGCTTTAGTATTAAAATTAAGATTGCAAGTCTTCAGTCCTGGTGATTATATATGTCGGAAAGGTGATGTTGGTAAAGAGATGTATATTGTTAAACGAGGAAGACTTTCAGTTGTAGCAGATGACGGAACAACTGTACTTGCCACACTCGGAGCTGGTTCCGTTTTTGGCGAAGTTTCCGTATTAGAAATAGCTGGAAATCGAACGGGTAATCGACGAACAGCCAATGTCAGATCGATAGGTAAATTTATTCATGAAATTGATTAAATTACATTCTCATATTGATTTCAAATGTCATGACCTTTTCTAGGATATTCTGATTTATTTTGTCTCGCAAAACGTGACCTGTGGGAAACATTAGCTGACTATCCAGAGGCACGTGCCTCATTGACAGAGCGTGGTTGTCAATTATTGCGAAAGGATGGTCTTCTCGATGAGACGGTTTTTGCAAGTAAATATAATTATTTATTTCTGTGCCTCTACATTGAATCTTTTAATCAATTCAATTTCGTTTATTCTCAATTTAGATGCACAGCAACAGCAAGACTCATTGGAACTAGGTGTTACAAAATTAGAATGTACTGTTGAGAATTTAAATTTAAGATTAGCACGATTATTAGGAGAATATGCATCATCACAAGCAAAACTCAAGCAACGAATATCGAGATTAGAAGAGAAGTATGAAAATGAGAAAAATCTTACTGTTGAAATTATTGATGATGAAAATATGATAATTGAGAAAGCTTTAAATACAATTAATGTAGACTAATAAAAAGCAAATTTGTCTTATTTGTTTACTTAATAAAATTACCTTTTTTGAAAAATTGTATTTTGGTAAAACAAAGACTTTTAAAGCGCACAAATGAATTGATCCTTTAGATTTTTTAGTTTCATAAGCATCCCTAAGATAGTAAATAAATTTCAATGTTCTCATTCAGTCTTTTAAAAAAAAGATTGATTTAAGAGCTATCCGTGACACATTACTATTTAATCTTTATTGAAACACATCAGAATACATAAAGCGGGACTTGTTCATTAAAAAGTTTGCTAGGACATACGATCATTGAGTGGATGTCTAATTAAAATGGCGTCTAGATGTCACTAGTCGTAGCATGAAGTAGAAACTTACACGAATTATGAAATTTCAAGTGATCCACTTATATTTTGTCTTTGTTTCCTTAAAGATTTTTCGAACACTTAATTTTTTCTTTAAATCCGTGCATAAAAATGTCAAGATCCAAAAAACTTTTGACTAAATAAATTAAACATACAAGAATGCCCGAAATTTTATTTGAAAATCAATAAGCCTAATCACTAAGAGTTAAATCATTTTTTAAAAAATTCAATTGACCAAAAAAAAATTTTATACTCTTTAGGCCATCAAAGCTGTAGTTAGCAATGAGCACATTTTAGTAAAACATCGAAAAGCTGTCTTTAATTTCCCCTCCACAACTACAAATGTACAGAAAAAAAAATTCATTAAAAGAAATTAATTAAAACGCATTTTATACATAATTGCTTTTTAATTCGATCCCTGCTTCTACTAAAGCTTGAAATACGAAACGAAAATAGATTTTTTTTTACCGTTCATCTAACCAATACCACAAAAAAATATCCATCACGGTAGGACGTTCGTTTTTCAAACCAATATTGAAATCTATATACTTTCTGACCCCAAGATTGTAAACTTAATCGAGTTAAGTGGATGAATTTTTTTCTAACATTCTTTTTTTAACGTTCCGTAACTTCAAATATTTATTTTTCTTGTCACGATCATTCGCTTGTGCGCACATGAATGAAGATGAATGAAAATTTTCCATTTTTAATGACCAAACCGTTTTCTTTTGCTCCTTTTTTTCATCTATCTTATTCGATTTAGGTTGTATGATACACCGTTTAAGAGCAACGAAGGCAATGATGATGAAACAAATGAAGATGAATTACGACAAAGGCGATATTCATTGCAATTAAATGAGTCGAGAGGATACAGACGTGGCAAGAAATTATCTACACAGCCGCAATTGGACAGCGAGGATGAATTAGAATTACCAGCAGAACTTCTGTCAAGACAGAATACATTTTAAATGAAATTATTGTGATTACAAGTTTCCTACATTTTCTTAGTCTTTCTATCTTCTTCCAAACGCTCATTCTATACTAGTTCATTAATCTATAATCTTTTCAAGTAATACACGAAACATTTACTAATGAATGTTAATGAAAACTTTTCTTTCTTGACAATTTATTCGTGGAAATTGAATTCATCTGTTCTATTCTGTCAGTTTGTTTTTTCATTAGGAGCATCCAAAAATGAAGATTAGATGCAGAAAGTAAAGATACGATTTAGATAGGGTTGATAGATTTACTCAAGCTAGGGTTTTAAGGAGTGTGTTCTTAAGCTTAGTCTAATTTTAATAAGTATGACTGGAGCTAGGTTTCCCTTAGCTGTACCAAAAATATCAATCTCAGAGATTGTTCGAATGGAGATTAGATCTGATTAGATCATATAAATTTGACATTGCTAATTTTTGACATCAACATCCTCCCTTTAAAATTCAAAAATATCCAACTCATTATCTCATATATGATAAAAACAAAACGCGTCACATTAACTTAAATTGTAAAACTCTTTTCTAACTTATCCCTCCCCATATATACTGAAACAAAAAAAAAAAGAATCGACAAAAGAAAAGTTTTCATCAGCAGAAGTAAAATTTATACGAAATAAAAACATCGAAACGTTTTCTGTACGAATTACTTAACAAAAAAAAAATATAGTTGAAAAGTTTTCATACAAAAAAATACTTAGTAGTGTATTCGATAAACGAGAAACTAATCTCATTCATTTTTACTTCACTTTAAATGAAATAGAATTTTCTTAAATATTGAAGAAAAAAATATTTTTTTTAAATCTTTAAAATAATAAAGAAATAGGAAATTGCATTTATTTAAGTAACACTTTTTCGTTTGTATCCAATTAACCCCAAATTTATAAAGATTATGAACTTTATAAATACTCATTTTAAGTGAATTTGAAACTGAAATTAAAAGTCTATTGATGATAAGGATGACGACATGAATTAATAAAGATTTTAAATTAACTTGCGGGTTTCGAGAGAAATTAACAGAATTTATAATGACTCAGGAATGTAAAATGTGATTTGACAGAGATATAAAATATTGTACGAAATGTTATTACGGTAGAATGATGGAATTTGGTTAATTGTGGTTTAATTAAGATAATTGAATTTAACACCCATAAAATTTTCCAGCTTTTAAATGCAAATTAATTCATGTCGTGATTTTTATTGGAATGGTTAATTAACTTTAATAAATTTTTGCGGTAAAATATTGTTTGGTTGAAGGTATAGAGTGTGCCAAAAGGGATTTTAGGATGCAGAATTTAAATTCCAACAAATTAGATAGCATTGATTAAAGTTATTCAGATTTATTTTGTTGTTGGTGCTACTAATGATAAATTTTCTTAGATAATAACAAGCTACGTAATCTTGAGAATCGTGAACTTTTTCTTCGAAATCTTTTAAAGTTTACTTTAAACTTTATAAATAGAAATAATCAGCCTTGGTCGTTTACTCCCTATTTAACATCTATTAACTTATAAGTCAATTTTATAATGACCATCATAAGGGGCTGTTGCTTGGTTCCTATGGTAAGCTCTACCTCTAAGTATGTTCTACTATGGTATACACTTTCGAATGGTGAAATGGCATCAGTAGCCTAAATGGTAGAGCATTGACCTTACGTGCCAAAGGTCCTGGGTTCAATCCCAGGCCATGTTTAATTTTCGAAGCTCTTTTTCCATTTCACCGTTCTAGTTACGAAGCTCGGTTCGTGTGTTGGGTGTAGTATTGATATACTAGACACAAGGATATACTAGCATCTGGATGACTTCCTTACGGCATCTTGAGCACACGAATTGTGACTAGGTACATTGCAGGGTACATCAGGTCTTATGACGTACTCGTGTCTTTGCATTGTGCAGAGCTTGCAAGTGGTTCGGATCCCACTATAAACTGTAGGTTTAAAGGGTGTAGTGCAATAGATTCGGTTGTAATTTGAATCGCAGTGCCTCCAGCTGAAAGGCTGAGCCCTTCACACATTGTTATTATTATTATTATTATTATACCTTTTCGAAGTGGTAATCAAACTATGCTTCATAAAGTTCTAGCAATTATTAATTGGAATATTATTTCTGACTTTATGTACAGTAGCGTGCAAAAGTGAGTGGACAGAACAAATTTTTTAATAATTTCGTTCAAAAAGTATCTTCCACTAAACGAAATCACTTCAAATTTTGACAGCATATCTAATTTTTGATAAGATTTCATATGCAAAACAAATTTTGTACTATAATTAAGTAATTTGAAAAAACCGTTAAATATTCAAAATCGATAACGTGCAAAAGTGTGTGGACAATTTTCAATGACAAAAAAATGTGTTAATAAGTATGTTATGTTAACTTTTTAAGATAAAAATCTAAAGTTTTGACGATTTTCTTAATTTACGTTCAAAATGGCTACTATTTTTCATCACTTTTAAGCAAATATGTCATATAATTCAATCTTAATTAAGTTGGACTTAACTGATTTTTATAGTTTTTTTAATAAGCTTTCAAAATATACATAGTTTATTATAGTAAAAGTTGATATTATGCAAAAAAATTATAGACATATTATTTTCATATGATTTTCTCACAGTCCAGAACATTAAATTGAGGAAATCTTGATAAATACTTTGCATATATAAGACTTTTTGGTATCAATTTATTGCATTTTATTTGGACAACATTATATAAGTAATTTCAGTTTACTAGAAAAATTATCCATCAAGTAAGAAGCTGTCAAATAGTATGTCAATTGAGCTTCTCAAATAATGAAAAATAAATTTTTGCGAAATTAACTTTCTGTCTTGAAAACTTTATACGTTTTGATTCGTAACGCATAATTATGTTAAAATTTAACATTTAAAAATTACTTTCTGCAACAGATATTCATTTTAAACAAATTTTGCAAAAATTTATTTTTGTTCTGGACTGTGAGAAAATCAACAATGAAAATAATATGTCTATAGTTTTTTTGCATAATATCAACTTTTAATATAATAAACTATGTATATTCTGAAAGCTTATTAAAAAAACTATATAAATCAGTTAAGTCCAACTTAATTAAGATTGAATTATATGACATATTTGCTTAAAAGTGATGAAAAATAGTAGCCATTTTGAATTTAAGAAAAATCGAGAAAACACGTGGTTTTGGTGGAAAATTTTTGAACGTAAATTAAGAAAATCGTCAAAACTTTAGATTTCCATCTTAAAAAATTAACATAACATATTTATTAACACATTTTTTTGTCATTGAAAATTGTCCACACACTTGCACGTTATCGATTTTGAATATTTAACGGTTTTTTCAAATTACTTAATTATAGTACAAAATTTGTTTTTCATATGAAATCTCATCAAAAATTAGATATAATGTGAACATTTGAAGTGATTTCGTTTAGTGGAAGATACTTTTTGAACGAAATTATTAAAAAATTTGTTCTATCCACTCACTTTTGCACGCTACTGTATATAACAAAAACCTCTGATCAATCTATTACTCTTTACTATTAAGAGCAACTTTTTATGCTATTGATAATATTTTATTTCAATAAACTAGAATTTCTTGCATTGAAAAATGTCTTTTGGCACACACTAAAGATGAAAGTAGAGGTGAGAAAAATTTATAAATAATAATGTGCCTAATAATCAATAATTAATTACACGAAAATTAATTTTTATTGATACAAAAATATGAACATGAAAAATTTTAAACGACTCTAATTGTTTTATTAAAAGATAAAAAAAAAATAATTAAAAAAAAAAAGAACAGGTTAGGAATTGAAAGGAAATAAGAGAATATTTATACAGTAAAAAACATATCCTAAATCTATTTATAAGACATGACGACACATACATACAACTAAAGTGAAAACAAAGAAAGCATGCATGCTCATTATGGTCTGTTTACTTAGAAAAACTTTTATAATTAATTAAATGCATCTTAATTAATAAATATGAAGACTTTCGTGTCAAAATAAACTTTTTGTTCCAATTTTATCGTCTTTATTTTATTTTGATAATAAATCCAAACGAGACATGTAAAAAAAATCTACTGTAAAAAACACCAAACAATGTATGAATGAAGATAACAAACTATGACCTTCGCAACAAAATGAAGTCGTGTCGAGAACAGAACCATTCAATAATGAAAGTCGTTCTGAATAGTTTTAATAACTAGTAAATAACAAATTCTGTCATTAATTTCAATGGCAAATGATATGATCATATTTAACTAAAGTCAAATTGAGAGTGTTCGGTGTTTGTGTTTTTTGGGTACTAAACCTTTAACAAATGCTTTTATTAATAAACTATGGAGTCAGAGCAATTTTAATGGTGAGATGTTGAGCCTTATATAAAAGCTTGAATGAGGCTCACCTATATAGGTTAGTGATTAAAAAATAAACCCGAAATCTATAGCCTATTCTTATTAGAAGTTGGTTTAAGCCTCACGTAGATTATTATCTTTTTATAACTCCATACAAAGATTAGTTTCTTCAATTGATATGAAAGATTATTAAAGATTATAATCTTTTTATTTTAAAGATAATAATCTTCATCCAAAAATCATAATATTCGCTTTTGAAGGATTATAGTCTGCTGGAGCCTTGCGTTGGTTCAAATCTTATCATAGACCTTGTCTACATAATAATGATTCGAACGATGTTCAAAACATTTTCAACATTATCAACATCCATATTATAAATATGGATAATTGGAAAAAGTTTGAATATTTTCCAATAATTAAAGCATTTTAATATAATATTAATATTTTCCATCATTGCTCTGACTTTACAAATACCTCAAACATTTTCATTTCAATCTGCAACTAATTGATGCAAAATTATTGATCAGAAACCGTAACAAGGACAGAATTTTCTCTTAATATGACTTTAGTTTCAAAGAGACAAACTAATTAAATTATATTACTAATTGAAATCAATAAATTTTTATCGAATAAGAATAAAAAGATGAAGTTAGACTTAATAAGAATTTAGTTCACTATAATTAAACAAAAGAAAAAGTGAAGACATAACTGATTACAAAATTGAAGTTGTACACTAAATGATAAAAGAAAAATAAAACCTAGAAATAAAGATAAGAAGGTTATTTTTTAGATAACAGAAAAATAAAAATTAAATGAGAATATCAATGACCTACATATTTTTGGTGTAATAGCTTTATTTATATTGACTTTTTGAAAATGAATCAGGTAAGTTACATATTAGAAATAGATTTTCATCATTCAAATAAATCTTGTTGAGATATGGTGCTTAGTCTAAGAATTGTATATCAACCAAGATATCAACAAACATCTGAGTATGAAATTAAACTTAATTAAAATTAAAATTTCTGCCTAGGTAGGTTAAACGCAAAAATATAAAGTTGATTCTTATGATCACATATATTTACGGATTACTTTAGATTATTGTCGGATCAAGTTTTATATTTCTTTATCCTACATAATTTAGCTCAAGAGGGAATGACTAATCACTCAATTAGTCCCACTCTTCTATCTGTGCCACTGCTTCAGACAAAAGA